TGAAAAATTAACTTCGCCTAATGGATAAAAAAGGGATAGGTAAATTTATTGACAATCTTACTACGCAGTTGGAAATGAGGTTTGATTTAGTGAATACATTTTCTTATCGCTACTTTCTTAGAAGTTCAATTTAAATCAGAAATGTTTACTTTGGCAGAGATACAAATCGTAAAATCTTTTCATTGACATCTGAAAAAACACAATTTAAATATTACTTTGATTCCCGCTGAAATTCAATTCAAAGTAGCAAATTTTTCACCTGAAACAAATGGAATTTTTGATAAGATGGTTTAACATATCACTAAAAATCGTACTCTGCCAGAGAAAAGAATATTAGATTAGCAATTAAATTTTGAAACTACTGCATACATCGAAGAGAAAACGTTGGGACGTTCAGATTGTTCTATTCTCTACTGGGAAAATAAACGTAACATTTTCTTTTTATTATCCAAAGTTGCGACTGATTTTCTTGCTGTTCAAGCTACAAATTGTTCGTCTGAATAAGTTAACTTCGTGGGAGGAGGAGTGCAAATTAACCGTTCCAAAATGCAGAACGGTTAATTTGGCCTAGAAGTAACAGAAAAAGTTTGTTTAAATAACATTCAAATTTTGTAATATTTTGTATAGTATACAAAAAAATAAAGATAAAAAACTTAAATTTCTTTATATATACATATATATATATATATATATATTATATATATATATATATATATATATATATATATATATATATATATATATATATATATATATATATATATATATATATATATATATATATATATATATATATATACATATATATATATATATATATATATAATGTTTACATGAAATTATACTAAATTAAATTATTTTCAATGGATTTACGCAGAAAGATTTTCAAAGAAGCGAAAGAATTGAGAGCGAAAGGTAAGTTTGCTAAAGTAGTTTACAATAAATTAATTACGCGCGACCTATTATAAAGGAATTCTTTTAATATTCTATAATTAAATTTAAAAACAAAAATGGATGACTACGAATCCATTACTTTTAATTTTCATGATAAGTACACAAAATCAAATTTTAATTCAGATCCAGATGTCAACTTTTTTAATGATGTGAACACATGTTGTTCTTATTTTCATCCCAACGAGTTAAAAGAATTTCTTAATAAAAATGGCACTGAAAATCGAAAAATCAGAATCTTTCACATTAATATTAGAAGTCTAAATACAAACTTTGAAAAGTTTTGCGATTTTTTAGATGAAACTGAAAATATTTTTAACATAATTTGCTTAACAGAAACGTGGATTTCTTCGAATGGTTTTAAAAATAATTCTACTTTCCATCTTCCAGGTTTTGAAACAATTTTAATAGAAAGAAAAACAAATAAACGCGGTGGAGGAGTTCTGATTTACGTTAAGGAACACATTGCGCATAACATTAGGAATGATATATGCGTTTCTGACGGTGATAAAGAAATCGTAACTATTGAAATTTTAAACAATAAAAAAAATAATATTCTATTAAGCTGCTGTTATAGACCACCTGATGGTGCGTCTGAAAAACTTAGTTTCTTTTTACAGCAAAATATCATTCACAAAGGTAGCAAAGAAAACAAAATTACTTTTATAATTGGAGATTTCAACATGAACTGTTTAATTTATAATAAAGATAAAAAAATAAAAAGTTTTTATGATGAAATACCTAATGCAGGAGCTGTTACTTTAATTAATCGCCCTACTAGAATAACTAAAACTTCAACTACGTTGATTGATAATATTTTTACAACAGATATTTATAATAGAAAAGTAAAAAAAGGAATTATAAAAACCGACATATCCGATCATTTCCCCATTTTTCTAACAATCCATACTGTATCCTCTAATAACCCCGAAAAACAAAATATAATAAAAAAACGTGTCTTTAATGAGAGCAATATAAAATCCTTCCAATATCAATTATCACTTCTGCATTGGAAACATATTAACTTTAATGAAGACGCAAATACAATATATAATAAATTCTTTGATACGTTCTTCTCAATATACGATGCAAACTTTCCACTTTGTGAAAAAATAACAAAAATAAAAACCTTTAAAAATAAAATTACCAAAGGACTTAGAAAATCCTCTAAAATAAAACAGAAACTATATATAAAATATTTAAAAACAAAATCAAATGAAAACCAACAAAAATATAAAAGTTACCAACATTTATTTGAAAAAGTTCGTAAAAAATTAATAAAAATTATTATTCAAATTTAGTTAGTAAATTTAAAAACGACTCAAAAAATACTTGGAGAACGTTGAAAGAAATAACAGGAAAACAAAAAACAAATTCAAACTCCCTTCCTAAAGTAATTAAAATAAATAAAACAAATATATATGAACCAAACGAAATTGCAAACGAGTTTAATAAATATTTCATTGACATAGGAACCAAATTGGCAAACAAGATCCCTATAACAGAAAAAATTTTTAGTGATTTCCAAGAGCCTATAAATAATTCGCTTTTTATAGATAATTTACATTCTGACTTACACTTTGATGAGTTTTGAGAGAGCTTACAATTCTCTCAAAAGAAACAAAGCTACGGGTGCGGACGAAATTAATGGTAGCATAGTCATAGATTGCTTTGAAAACTTAAAGTGTATTCTTTATAAAGTCTTTAGGGCATCTATACAGCAAGGTGTATTCCCCGACCAATTAAAAATAGCTAAAGTAACTCCTATATACAAAAACGGAAAAAAATCAAATATTAGTAATTATCGCCCTATCTCAGTTCTTTTAACTTTCTCTAAAATTTTAGAAAGAATTATATACAATAGAACATACAATTACCTTAATCTAAATAAACTTCTATATAAAAATCAATTCGGTTTTAAAAAAAATTGTTCAACTGAACAACCCATTACACAGTTCATTCGTGAAATCTCCGATTCATTTGGTAGATCATAATATACATTAGGTATTTTCATTGACCTATCAAAAGCATTCGACACGGTCGATCACAAAATTCTACTTAAAAACTCAAATTTTACGGAGTTAATGGCAAATTAATAAAATGGTATCAAAGTTACTTGGAAAATAGAAAACAATTTGTTTTCTATGGAGATTATTTTCAAAATGAAAAATTAATTGACATAAAATGTGGTGTTCCACAGGGTTCTATTCTAGGCCCACTTTTGTTTTTAGTTTATATAAATGATTTAAATAAAGCTTCTAACCTTATGAGTATAAATTTTGCGGACGATACTAATTTATTTCTATCAAACAGTAGCATTTATGAGCTTTTTTCAAATATGAATAATGAACTCAATTAGATCTCCAACTGGTTTAAGTGCAACAAGTTAACTTTAAACATTGACAAAACAAAGTGGATCCTTTTCCACTCTCTTGCTAAAAAGCGTTTTTTACCAAATAAATTGCCTAAACTTTTTATTGATAAAATTGAAATAATTAAGGAGTCGGTCACAAGATTTTTAGGCATTTACATTGATGAAAATATTACATGGAAGTATCATATCGACTATATTTCTACTAAATTGGCTAAAAGTATTGGAATTATATATAAGTTCAGATACTATCTAAGTAAACAAAATTTAATTCAACTCTACTACTCGTTTATTCATAGCTATATAAATTATGCAAATATTGTTTGGGGAAGTACCTCTAAAAGTAAGTTACGAAGTCTTTACCATCGTCAGAAACGCGCAATGCATTTAATATGTTTCGAAAATCGTTTTTCTCATTCAAATATTTTATTTAAAAACGTTAAAGCACTTAACGTTTACGAACTCAATGTCTATAATATTTTATGTTTTATGTTTCGTTGTAAAAGTGAACGACCATTGTCCAATTTCAAAGATCTTTTTACTTATAAAGCTATAAACAAATATGCTTTACGAAATAATAATTTATTAATTAAACCCTTTTGTCAAACAAAGTTTAATCAATTTTGCATAAACCATAGAGCACCGTATTTATGGAACAAAATTGTTGTTCCAAATTTTGATTTGTCAATTTCGTTTTCCGTTTTTAAAACTAAATTAAAAAACTATATTCTTTCTACTGGCAATATATATAAATATTTTTGAAATTTTAAAATTCTTTTTTTTTACTCTGAATAATTTGTAAAATTATTTTCAGTTTTTGTTTCTTCTACATTGTTATTAGTTATTTGATCAATTGTATTTTATTTTATTATATATACACGTATTATATCTTTTATATGGTTCTGGCGACAAGATCATTTGGATCTTCTTTCAGATACCAAGTTTATATATTGTTATATTGTTATATTACGATTAATAATTGTAAACTGAAAAAAAAAAAAAAAAAAAAAAAATTACTTTTATTAGATATTATAACAGATTATATTATAATACTATATAATATAATATGTTATAATATATATTATATATATATAATAATGTTTACATAAGTCTTATGTTTACATGAAATTATACTAAATTATACTTATAATATATATTATAACATATTATATTATAATACTATATAAAACAATATGTTATAATATATAACATAAATGAAACGATAAGTTTATTAGTTACATTAGTATGTTTAGCTTAAACATAAGATACTTAAAGCTTCCATACATTGGAATATACTATAATTATTCTTCGATGAATAAAAAACTCTCAATTTTATCTTTTATTTATTTCTCATTGAGTAATGTTTTTAACAATCTAATTGTAAATTTTTCCCAGCGATCTAATTGTAAATTAATTAATTTTTCTTTGAATAAATTGAAATAAGAACAAAAAACAATTATTTAAAAAAAAAATTGCAGCAAAAATTACAAACAAAATCATGAGAATATTACTCAAAAACAAATAATTATCAAAGTAAAAAAAATTCACTCGAAAGAGGCAGTCGAGTTTTCTCGTCTTTACTTATTTTCTAGATAATGGCCAACTTGGTTTACATTAAATATTTCTTCTTTATATGTAAAAGTAAATTAGTCAAACTTCGAATTTTTATTAGGTTCCTGGTGCATTCTTGGAAGATAGTTTAAACCAATATATAAACATAACATTAGACATGACAAGCTTCTCAAAGCGTGGTAAAGCTATTGTAGAAATTCCATTAAAATTTATGTTTAACTACAATGCAGGATATCTAATTAACCTATACACATCCTTTAAAAAAGTTATAGCTTCATCTAACAACTGGTACCCAATAATCAAAATGGATAAAAATGCTTTAAAAGGTTTCTTGTTTTACTTTTTTTTTATTTATATCTTACTTTACTGTTTGAACTACAAATACTCATAAATGATTATTAGTTTCTTTTTTTTTGTACAAATAAAAAATTAAAATGACTTATTTAAGATTACCAAAACGTTGACATTAAAAAGAATAATTAAGTGTCAAATCTGTATATTTTATTATTTTTTGTCAACAATTTAGAGAAAAAACGTCTATAGGAAAATACAGGTTATTTTCTATTCTAGGAAGATCCCTGCACTAAATAAATGAAGTTTTATTATACAAAAAAGAATAAAACATAAACAATTATTCAACTTTTGTACAATTATTTATCATTATTTATCATTAATTATTATATTATTACAAACAATGACAGATTTTACGAATATACAGATTTTTTTGTATAAAAGTGAATTTCTCTTTAACGGAATTACCAAATTTTTTAAATTTTAAAAGTAGATCCAAAAAATTTGTATTTTATAAACAAAAAAAAATTTAGTTTTTCATCAGTTTATCTCGCCTAACACGGTCAAATCTTGTAAAGACATTTGCCCAAAGCCTATAAAAACAATTTGATCAATTTTTTTATGTAATATCTATTCTACTTCTTAGTTGGCGGAGATTTGTAGTTTTACAATTGTCTGCATACGCCAATCTTTTATTTTTAGTTCAAAATTTTTGATTTGACGCAAATCGGACTAATTAGCAAAGTTTATGTCTCTCCGCATATACACTATTTTAAAAAAAATGCGCGTTTTTTACGGAAAAGTTACGGAAGCAAACTACCCGTTATTTTACAAAAGCCCATCGCATGTAAACGAAAGTTTCCGTTAACAAACGGATTTTTTTCGTTAAAGTACAATGGGTTTTTTCCGTTAATTAACGATAATTTGTACATCGCAAAAGCCAAAACTTTTCAGTAAATAGGCGGAAATTTCGTTTTAAATTAAAAAAATTTTTTGTCGTTAAACAACGGAAAGGTTGCAGTAATAAATAAAAGGAATGTTGCAGTTTATTTTTCGTTCATATGAAAGTTTAAAAAAATTATTTTACTAGCAAAAATTATATATATAAAGTAAATTGTATGTTTTTGAAATTATTTTCTGAAAACAAGTTTTCTTTGATTTACATAAGAAACATTGAAATTTCCGTGATTTACATTTCACTTCAATAGCAAATAAACAAATAAATAATAATTTAGTTACTTTAGATAATTTCAAAGTAATTTAGTTGCTTTAGATACTTTCAAAAAAGTTAACAATTTTGATAAAGTATATACAAGCACATAATAATATAGTTGTATTACATATCACTATATACATTTGCAATAAAGATACACTTAAAAAATCTTTAAGTATAATTTATTGGTTAAATAATAATAATAATTTTACATATAAGTAAATCAATCCAAACACACAAAAATATTGGCTTTCCTTTCTTTTTCATTTCTAGTCAAATCTAAATCTAAAATAAAAACAAAAACTTTTTAAGTTAAGAAAGTTTTTAATATTTAACAAAGTATTAAATTACAAAAAGCATTCATTAAATGCAATGGTTACCTTAAAGCTGTTACTCAATATAAATGTTTTAACTAAGGCCAAGCAACAAACAACTCTGAATAAAGTTAAAAGCTCTTTTGAGCAATAAATAAATACCTAAAAATAATAAAAACTTAAATTGAAATATGGTACAAAAAGAGGTTTTAAAGTGCAATATAACCAATCTCAGTTTGTTTGTCATTGTAATGGTGACAAGTAAATTTCCTTTTTTCGCCATTGTTGGCGCCATATGCCATTATACCCCAATGCCAATATCACCCATTATGTCCCAACTTTAAAATTAGATTATTTTATATTATTAAATCATTAAAAATCTTTACAATTTCTTTAAAATCAAATTTAAGTAATTAATTACTCAATTTACTTACAATATAACTCAGCAATTAAACAATAAAATCCAAGTTTTCTTTTTATAATGAAACGTAATTTATCAAATTATTATTTTTATATAATATAAAGTCATTTCAAAAATAAAATTTAAAATTTATTAATAAAAATACATACTTAGGTCTAACCTTTAGCAAGCTAAAATAAATTCTAAAACATAATTATCATATAACAGAAAATTAATAATTGCAAATTTAAAAAATAAATAAATTAAATAAAACAAATTTTGTTCATGCTTAAAAATTGTTAAAAATTAAATTACAATACCTATTTTGAATCCCTCTTTTTTTTTTCCGCAGAATATGTACTTTGATAGACTCTAATAAAAAATATTTCAAAGTTTTAAAAGCATTTTTATAAGTTTGAAAAAAATATTTTTATTTTTTTCTTGTTCTAAACAAAAATAATCAACTCAATGATTAATTATAATACTTATAACTAACTTTTAACTCTTACACCTTCGAATACTTTAATATCTATTTAATATAAGCAAGTGTGAACACAAAAATTTTATAACTATTTCATAATAGATATTTATATTAATATAAATATCACGGTCATGTGACATTTAAATGGAAACATTTTGAAAAAGCAATAATTTTTGTATTCTTAATTTTTTTTTCACAAATGTTTTTTTTCTTAAATGTTTTTTTTTCTATGACGTTTGTTATCATATATAATTTTACAAAGTTTTGGCCTGGACATCAATGCTCAAACTATATTTTCTTGAAGGATGTTCCTTCAGATATCTTTTATTTTATTGAGTAAACCCTGTAACCCATACCTTCATCTAAAAAATTTGACTTAAATTTAGCTTTAATAGTCAATATCAACTTTCAGCTTTTTTGCCATTTAAATCGACTTTCCTTTTAATTCTCCCCACGTTATTTTTAACTCTACTAATGATGGCTATTAAAACTTTGATTAATTCCTTTTCTAATAATTTCTTAATCATTCAATGCGAACATCCAAGTTGTACCAACAATAAAATACGCATTTCGATTTTTTTTTTTGTCAAAATGTTTTGTCAAAGTCTTTTAAATTTTTTTTTGTTAAAAAAAAAAAAAAAAAGACATTGATATTTGTTTACTACTACTACCACTACTACTACTGCTTCTAATACTACAACTACTACTACTACTACTACTACTACTACTACTACTACTACTACTACTACTACTACTACTACTACTACTACTACTGCTCCTACTACTACTACTACTACTACTACTACTACTGCTACTGCTACTACTACTACTACTGCTACTACTACTACTACTACTACTACTACTACTTTTACTACTACTACTATTACTGCTAGTAGTAGTAGTACTACTGCTACTAGTACTACTACTAGTAGTAGTAGTACTACTGCTACTAGTACTACTACTAGTAATACTATTACTAGTACTACTACTACTACTAATACTACTACTAGTACTACTACTACTACTACTACTACTACTACTACTACTACTACTACTACTACTACTACTACTACTATTACTACTACTACTACTACTGCTGCTACTACTACTACTACTACTACTACTACTACTTTTACTACTACTACTATGACTACTAGTAGTAGTAGTACTACTGCTACTAGTACTACTACTAGTAATACTATTACTAGTACTACTACTACTACTAATACTAATACTACTACTACTACTACTACTTCTACTACTACAACTACTACTACTACTACTAATACTACTAGTACTACTGCTGCTAGTACTACTACTACTACAACTAATAGTACTACTACTACTACTACTACTACTACTACTACTACTACTATTACTGCTACTACTAGTACTACTACTGCTAGTACTACTACTACTGCTAGTACTGCTACTACATGCCAATTATTGATGTCGTGTGCCCACTTGTTATTAGCTTACATTATTAAGAAATATCTTGAATAACAGAAACTTTTTACAGTTTAACTACGACTTTATAACACGAAATATTTTTGCTGATCACCATTTTTCTTATTAATGTCAAACAACAATTAGTGAAGCGCGCGTTTTTTATTGGTTGCAAAAAAAAAATTAATAAATACATAAACGTTTAAAAGTTTTAAAGGTATATGCAGGTAATTTCCTAGTTACTCTAGAAACAAAAAAAATACATTTTAGAAGAAACAAGAAAGCTTTTAAAAGTTCGGGAAAGCGAACTTATGGCAATAACAGACGCAAGTATGAAAATACTTACTAAGCGTCTGGAAAATAATGAAAAAGTCGGTAGCAAAAAATCAAAGAAAATCAATACATTGCATTGGTATTATTTTTGGTTTTATTTTTTTTTGAATTTTGAAGTTGGCGAATTTTTGGAGTTTGATGCTGATTGATGTTAGATGATGATATTGGTTGAGATGAGGATGAAGACGCAGGTTCGGCTGAGGATGATGAAACAGGTTCGGATGGAGATGTTGAGTAGGCTAACATGGTTCTTGAAATGTGTGAGAAGTTTGAATAATTGATTTTGCTTAAATTAAGTGGGAACAACCAGTGTTTTAAAAATCAGAAAATATTTGTATTATTACTTATAGTTTAATAAAGCTTTTTTTTGCTAATTTGGTAAAATTTGACAAAAATTAAATTTCTGATAACAATAGATGCATAAAATTCTTTAAAGAATTTTATCGAAACTCCTTTAACATGACAATATACACCTAGATCTAAAGTTTAAGTATGTGGTACAAATGAGCAGGTAAACTTAAACTGATGTTATTGTTAAGGATAAATTAAAATAAAAAGAAATACAAACAGCATCGTAAAATCCGTTGTTCGTGACGTGTAACGTTTCCGTCAAAGACAAAAATGTAAATACCTGTATTTGAAAAAATTATTTGCCTAATTGAATAATAATTAAATTTAATGAATTGTTTCTCCTTCATCCGACCCAACTTGAATGATGTAAATAAAGTGTTTGGTTGTTTCCCTACGTATAATTCTTTATACAGACGTGATAATGATTTGTAAACTACAAATTGTCCCAAAATGTTATTGGTAGCGTTGACACAATTACCGACTGTATAATTAACCTTTTCGTTGTTTCCAACCAATTTAAAAGAGCATTTAAAAATAGTTGGTAACATATTCCGTAATCGGCAAAACTGATAAGTGCTGAAATAAAAGCAAATTCAAATGTTTGTACCTAGCACTGTAATTGTACCTATACCTTGTGATTTGAATTTTTTTGGCTTACGTTTGTGGAAAGTTTCTTTGGTATGCTGTATACACCTAAAGCTCTACTTAGTGATTTTTCGCCCGTTTTGACTTAATCTACTGCAAATTCTCTTCAGTGTAAGTTGTTTGCGTTTGACAAATGTAAATACAAATCATTTTTGTTTTTAAGTTTTTTAGATAGAATGCAAAATTTTTTTGCGTTTTTATTAGTTAATAGTTGTTAGTTTATTTAGTCGCTCTCATCTTAATGCACAAGTGTGAGCAATAAGCATATTTACTCTTCCCAAAAAAATTGTATCTTGATTTTTTTCCAATACTAGCAAACTCAGTTTTAAAATTAGAACTTTGACTATCAAAAAAAACGTTTACTTTTTTTTATCGTTTACTCGTACCCTAGTTCACAAATATTTTTTTTATTTTTTTTAAGTAAGGCATATAAAAAATATAAAATTGCTTTCCACACTAGAAAAAAATGTTTAACCTTTTTACAAAAAAATTTTCCTTCAAAAAGCAACAAATTTTATTTCATATTTAGAAAGCTATAGCCGCGGAATATGTTGGGATCAATCAGAATCTTGGATTTATGCTTGCGTAAACTTATACGTAACAACGTAATAATACTTATTGTTTAACTCAAAGTAACATTGTTAATTTATTCTTTATGAATGGGTTTTCAATTATCTGTTTTCAATTATTTGTTATCCAAAGATTTAAATTTATTGCTTTAATGCAATTTTTATTTTAACATTGTACTATAATCAAACTTATTTTTTAAGCCAACAGACAGCATGTTATGTTTCAATTGATTATGGAATGGAATGGTCGGGTAACTCTTTTTTATATTATGAAAAAATGTTTTCATAGAAAAAAAATTTTCACTGTAAAAAAATATTGTTCATGTGCTACTTTTTGTGAACGCAATTTTTTTTTAATAAAAATATAATGTTATAGAACTAGACAATAGCGTTGGATCTGTTCTTGGTCATCATTTATTAACAAGAGATTTGTATGTTATACATCGAAATCAAAAAACTTACTTGATGTATCACAAAATATATAAAAAGTGGTTGGCGATTCCTACCAACGAGTTTGAAAAAAATGTATCTAACAACTTAAACTTCTCTTTATGTTTGAAGTTGGAAGGAACTAATGAGCAGATCTTAACAATTCAAACTCAACAATGGATGGGTAAATAGCTTAACTTAAAGTTTTATTCAAAAAACCGCATAGATATGCTTAGTTAAAAAAACGTTAGTTTTAAAGTATTGAAGAAAGTGTTTCGAATTTTAAAGTAAGTATAATTTAGGTTAAAGTTAACGTATATAGTCCGTCTCTTTTTATAGTCTCACACAAACGGGGTTTTTAGCCACTAAACCAATTTGGTTTTAATATATTTTTGAGGAAAAAATTCTCGTCATTATTTCCAGTTTATAAAGTGTGCAATGTTTCATCAAAAGCTTTTAAAGTTCTTGAGTTTTGAAAACTGAAAAGGAAAATTATTAGAACTTACTAGATCTGAAACTTTACGCTTGTACAAATTACTCTATTAAAAGGGTTTCATTATAGAAGTATAAATCTTTTCAATTGTGAAATATTTCAAAAACAAATCTGAATCAAAATTTAAGTTTAAGAAATTTTTGATAACAACCTTATCGAAATTGTATATGCTTCAAGAAAAATATTGAAGAACACACTATTTGTTTATTTAATTTTTTGTATCTAAAATAATTAGTTACGTTGTTACAGTGTTGATAAACAGCGTAAATCTTCTTGCCCTTACTTTTCTTCAGCAGTAGAAAGTGGCTGCCTGTTAATGACCTTTTAGCTGCAAAATGTTTTGGCTGCCTATAGTGCTTTCTGCCTCCCAGATAGCCACAGCCGCCTATTGCAAATATTTGCCAACCGCCGTCAAAAGAATTGAAAAACATTTTCACTTTTGTTTTTATGTTAATAAGCACTTTAAATTTTAACTTAAAATAAATATAAAAAATGTTGACATTAATTTTAATAATTAAATACTTCAAGCTATTTAACTAAAAGTATAACTTTGTCAGACTCGTTTTTAATAAAATAAATGTAAATAAAATTAAAAAAAATATTATATAAATTTGTAGTTTTATATTCATATTTTTAAAATTAAAACTAATAGTTTCTTTTCTTCATATTTTTTACTTTTTTAATTTCATATGTAGTATAATATTTTTATCACTACCTTTGATAATAATAAACTTTTGTTCCCCAGTAAAAGTTTTGTATTAAACTTTTATTCACAACTAAAAATTCCGTTTTAAACTTTTGTTGTCATCAGAAAACAACAGGTTCCACAAAAAATAATAAATCAAGATAAAACAAACCACAGTTTTTATAATTAACTATTGATATATTGCAAATACTTTGATAAACCGTTTACAAACGGTCGTGATTAAAGCTAAATACAATAATAAGTGCGTATATTTTTTAACTATTCTTCATTGTTAAGTACTTTTTAATAAACATAGGCTCATTAAAAAACTTTTATTAGTATTTTATAATTATTAAAAGTTGTTTTTGAATTATCTTTAATTTATTGGGAACTTTTGACTTGCATTTTTAACTTTTATTCCACAATCTGGCTTCAGCTTTTGTCCTTTTTACAAATGGTGGACTATTGTGATAAACAAAAAAAAAAGCAGCTGCATTTTTTGTCCATTGAAATCGCGCAAGTTAGACATCTAGTTGTATAATATATCATTCGCAAGACCTGTTAAAACTTTGCATCTTTATTGTATTTTAAAATGTTATGACAAAAACTGTTTTTTTTACGTTGGTGTTTTATGAGAGTAATGCAATATTAGAACTTTTCTTTCTTTTTTTAAAAAGTCGTATAAAAGTTTATATATCGCGACGTTAGAATTATCTTGTGCTATCTCCAATTTTTGAAAAAATTGAGATTTTATTATTTTCGAATATTTTAGCATTGTGTTGTTCTACTTTAATTATATTGAAAAAAAATGAAACTTTTAACACGGTATTTCATGCAATATTGCATTGTTCTATCTCCTTAATGAGCAAACATGAAAATATTATCTTGTTCTATCTCCAATCAACCAATCATATTACAATTACAAAGTTGTTCGGAATAATTTTATCAGTTTTGTTGTTTTCAAAATGGCAACTGCAAATATTGACCAAGAAATGGAACCTGCCCTAAATCAAAACGAAGGTAGTTTTTCAACTTAATTTGTATTATAATTTTGGAAAAGTAGAATTCGACTTTCGCTTGTGCCATTTTAGATTAAATTTAAAAGTTATTATTTATACATCCTGGATAATAAAAAATTAATATTTTAATCGTTAGAGCTGCTTGGCATTACACCTTCTCGTCGGTCGCCCATTGGTGGGGTTTCTAGGAAACGTAAAGCTGTTAGGAGTAGTTGGAAACAAAGTGTAAGAAAAATCCAACGTCAGTCGGGTAAAGCTTATAAAAATACAAAAGGAGAACAAATGCCAAAAAGATCTATTGTTGCACTAAAAAGTTGCAGAAATTGTAAATTTAAATGTTCTACCAATATATCTGAGATTGAGCGTCAAATAATATTTGATAACTTTTGGACCTTAGATGATGACGGAAAAAAACATTTCTATTCTAAAACTACTGAAAATCTGGAGAAAAAACGCTGTCGGACAGCTGCTGGTGACAATTCAAGAAGAAAAACATCTTATTATTATAGCTTTTTTGTTTCTAATACACAATATAGAGTTTGTAAATCATATTATCTTTCAACATTGAATATTAGCAGAGTGTTTTACTTTCATAAGTTTAACAAATCTCTAACTACTGGAACACCATTGCAATTAAATTCAGGGAAACATGTTAAAAAAAGGTTACTAGAAGAGTCTAAACAAGTTGTACGAGACCATATTAACCTTTTCCCGAGAATTGATGCTCATTATAGCAGGAAAAAGACACATAAAGAATACATGGAAAGATCACTAAATATAGGTAGAATGTATGATCTTTATAAAATATATTGTGATGAAAATGTCTCTCCTCCAGCAAAAGAACATATGTATCGTTATATCTTTAATCACGAGTTCAATATAGAATTTCAAAAACCGAAGAAAGATTTATGTGACACATGCTATGAGTATCGCAACATTGTTAATGCAAGCAATGAACAAACAGATAGTTATAATAAGCACATAAAATCAAGGAATGATACCAAAACTGAACGTGAAAATGATCGCCAAAATGTTGATTCTAAAACTGCAATTGTTTGTATTGACCTTGAAAATGTTTTAAATTTGCCTAGAGCTAATGTGGGAAACTTTTATTACAAACGAAAACTTTCAAATTATAACTTAACTGGTCATTGCTCGCTTAACAGGAAGGGTTATTGCATCCTTTGGCACGAAGCCATGACTGGTCGTGGAGGAAATGATCTAGCCTGTGCTGTAACATGTTTGCTTTTGAAAATCATGGCTGACCTTGACATAAATAAGTTCATACTTTGGTTCGATTCATGTGTACCACAAAACCGCAATAGTTTCATGTCAGCAGCTTTGTGTGAATTTATAATACGATACCCACAAATAAAATTAATTGAACAGAAGTTCTGCGAGCCAGGTCATTCCAGCATTCAAGAATGTGACAACATTCAGAGTCAGATTGAAAAATCCCTCTCTGCTGCAGAAATATTTAGTCCACTTGGGCTAGAAAGAGCTATTAAAAATGTAAACCGTAAAAAACCTTTCTGTGTTTACCAAATGCAATTAGGAGATATAAAGAATTTTTCAGTTGTCGCTGGTCTGTCAAGTTATAAGTTAGTGCCTTATTCAAAGGTTAAAAATCTTGTTTATCGAAACGGACTGCCATACCATGTTTTTTTTTAAACCTTGTTTTCAGATAATTAATCACAAGCTCTTATAAATAAGTCTGTCAAGAAAGCAGCATCAACCATTGTTGCAAAACCATTAAATACCTATATGCCAATGGCAGCTTGCTTTCGTGCTTCTTATCAGTCTATATCTGTTGCAAAAGCCAATGATATCATTACCATGTATTCATACATGCCTGCTGTTGATATTGCATTTTATAAAACAATAATAAATTGAACATTTACAAAACATTAATAAAGTCAAAATATTTTTAGGGTTGTTATATGTTTAGTATAAATATAAATAACATATTTATATATATATATATATATATATATATATATATATATATATATATATATATATATATATATATATATATATATATATATATATATATATATATATATATATATATATATATATATATATATATATATATATATATAATAATAATAATAATAATAATAATAATAATAATAATATAAATAATATACATATAAATAACATATTTAAATAAAATATTTATTTAGTATAAATATAAATACACATTGAAATAATATTATTTTGAAATCTTGATAAAAATTTTTGTTTAGCATCTGTTTTTTTTTTTTGTTTTTTTGTACTTTTATATTCATTTTCCCCCACTTGTTTGGTTTGGATGGTTTTCCATAGTGACATAAAGGCCACTATGAAAGAGTTAAAGCAATGTTTCACAACCTGATGCCCTTCCTGACGTTAACTTGAGTAACAATTTTTTATTTGTAAATATTTGCAATAACTTTTAATAAAAAGTTAAACTCTAATAATGGATACACAGGCAAAAGAAAAATAAAATCAAGTTCATCTTGCATGGAGTTTGTGATTAGATTAGTTGAATTGTTGTGAATTATCAGAGAGTTACATAATGTTATTTCTTTTATTATTACATTTTTTTTAACATAACTCTTTCCTATATACCTTTCATAATTTATTTTATACGTTTATATTATATTAATACGTTTATATTATTATTACGCAGCCAAATTTTCCGTTTTAAATTAGACGTCTTAGTCTTGTCCAGGGCCGGCGCCTACAGGTAATTAAAGTAAATGTAAGTTGTAAGAACAGTGTCGTTAGAGGCTCTTCTAAAAGCTCTCCTAATTAGTGCCTCATTTTATTTAAAAAAACTTAATTTTTTAGGTAATACAAAAAGCGTCTTATATTTTGAAAAGGGTCCCTTTAAATAAGGGGCCCATGCCCCTAATTTAGGGGCCCATGCCCATAAATTAGGAGTGTATGGTACTGCGTAAGAATAATTAGCAGGTAGAACAAAATTTCATCAATTTCTAACATGTCGTTGTTGAAAAATGTACTTAATATGTTTAATATATATGATGTAACAACATAATATTTTTGAATTTTACTAAAAACCAAAGTTATTTTGTTCTATCTCCAAAAGCGGGTGCGAAAAAAAGGGCGTTAGCGTAATTTTAAAAAGTTTTTTTTATCTAAAAATTAATAATAAAACATTTTTAAATCTTAGGAAATACCTAAATTCTCAAAATATTTTTTCAATTTAGCTGCGAACAAATTCAAACTTTGACATCGATTTTCTCAGTTTGCAAAAACATGGAGATAGCACAAGATAATTCTAACGTCGCGATATATATATATATATATATATATATATATATATATATATATATATATATATATATATATTATATATATATATATATATATATATATATATATATATATATATATATATATATATATATTGTAAGAATAAAACTACAATTTGTTGATACAAAACAAACTTAGCTTTCTTTTATGCTCTTTACATATAACACTTTAAAAAATCAATATATTTATATGTGTATACTAAACAAGTCACTGAAATTAGAACACTTACAAAAATGTTTAAAATGTTACATACTAACAAACCAACTGTAATTAACACAATTTTGAGGATTAGCGTTTTCATCTTTTCTATATTTTTATTTTTTATTTCACAAGGTAGTTGATGTTTTTTGACTTTTTACGTTTTTATTCTTTGATAAATTTAAAATTAAAAAAAAATTGAGTTACTGCTTTAATTTCATTTTGTTTTTACAACAAAATCGCTTGTTTCTCTTGTTTTAGAACCTAATTTTACTTTTACATTTAATTAAATGTCTAAAACATATTTTGTAGAAGTGCAACATTGTGAAGCAAAGCAAGAAACAATAACGTTTATAAACTTTTTTGATTTTACAGACATTATTGTATCTTCATTTTTATTTAAATGAATTTTATGGCAAGGAAATCTTTCTTTTAATATCCAAACAAGCATTCTACTCGGACACATATGTTGACAATATGCGATGATGTGCTCTATAATATGAACGTGTTGATGAGTTTTTATTTATTTTTTTTATAAATATGTTGGCAAATATGGGTCATCCGAAAACTAGCTAATTTTGTGTTAATACAACTATCCTTTCATGACGACAACATTTTTTTAGTCAGGTGTAATCAAAGTAGAAAAACTAATAATATAGTAAAAGTAGTTTGTCGCTTCCTCTCGATATTACTTTTTTTTTTTTTTTAATTTAGGTGCCCCAAGACGTCCTTACTGTCTTATTACAAAGCACCGCGGATAAGCATTTAATTGAAAGTTCACGCCTCCTTCCTAATTGATTTCGCAAGACTTGCCCAGAGGTGGGTTTAGAACCAAGAATCTTTTGTTTCTGAGGCAAGTGCGCTACCACTGTGCTACAAATGCTTAACTTTAGTGATGTAATACTCTCTGTCCTTTCAAATAAGGTTTTGATGCAATTAAACGCTAATAAAGTTGTTTTAAACAAAAAAACATTAACGTACCTATGTTTTATATTCTTAAACTTTGAATAAGTGAAGCATATTTCCAGATATATTAAAAATAACTTAGGTTTACCCAATTTTTAAGGGCAACAACAATTCCGTTATCTCAAATTCTAGACCATTTCCGTGTCATCCATTTCCTCGAAAGTATTTGAACCCGTAATCTTTTACAAAATTTATGGTCATTTTGCTAAGAATAAACTCTTTTACCCTAAACAATAGATCTGTCGATAATATTAGATTCAGTCGATCACTCAATACTTTTCAGTAAGTTAAATTACTATGGTGTAACAAACAAAACATCTAATTGGATTAAAAGCTACCTGAAAACAGTATGTAACTGAAAACAGTATGTAGTCAATCCGGATTCTGGTACATTAAATATTTTGTGTGGAGTTCAATCCACGGCGATCTCCTGTTTCTAAATTATATAATCTATTTTTGTAATTCTGCAAAATTAAATCGTGTTATGATGCAGATGAGACTAATTTATTTATGTCCAATAATGATAATAACCAGCTAAATAGAGATAAGAGTATTAAACTGATGAGAGTAAATAAATGGTTTAGAGCTGACAAACTCCCAATAAACACGAAAAAAACTCAATATACATTATATAGTAAGTAAATGTATATATATATATATATATATATATATATATATATATATATATATATATATATATATATATATATATATATATATATATATATATATATATATATATATATATATATATATATATACATATATATATATATATATATATATATATATATATATATATATATATATATATATATATATATATATATATATATATATATATATATATATAGTATATAGTATATATAAAGCGAGTTTATATGTATGCTATGAAACTTTAACAACTGATAAAAACGTGTGCGTATATTAAGTGGATATAAAATAACTATTCCGAGATATAGACTTTGTAGAATAAAGTCCACTAATGCGTTTTATTTTTAATTTTTTTTTAATCAATAAAATTCGAAGTTCGTGGAGTCTTATCGTTTCTCTCCTGGATTTTCTCAAGTATTTGCATCATCGGCATTTTTATTCACAAAAGTTTTTTCGATTTTAGTATTATTGTTCTTGTTGCAACTTTCTAAAATATTTGCAAAGATTAACAAAATAAAAGCAAAAGAACTAAAGTTTAATAATTAAACCAATCACCATTAATTTATTTCATCGTTACATTGCGCTTCAATGTTACTTTGATGTTAACATAAAAATAATCAAAAAAACAGTTTTTTTATAAGAAGACAAAATTTGATTTCCGATTCAATCATTCTCGATCGACTAAATTTTTGAAGAATAAGATTAGTCTTCTTCTAAATAGTCAAGAGAGATCTTCGTTATTTTCATCTTTGTTATCTTCCACCGCTGCATTTGTGGTTAGCCCATCATAAAACCGTGTAGCATCAGTATCAATAATGAATTTCTTCAAAAATATGAGATCCTTGTGTTTTGTTTCAGGAATTGGGAGAGATCCATTGTACAAATTTTTAAGTGCACTGTGTTGAGGTGGATGGACGTTCTTATTTTTGCCTCGCTTAGGCGGTTCCCAAATTATGTTACTGGAAGAACATAAACCCAAAAATGATGCATGATAGAACAGTTCATTAGAAGATTTGCTATCAATCTTCAAGGTGCAAATAGTACGTGCTGAAAATAAGCACTTGGTTTTGTACATAGGTTTGTACAAAGCTCATCCCATGCTTTAAAGAACTCCGTCTCACACTTTAAAACTTCATAAGGTGATGGCTTTAGTCCAGGCTTGGTCGGGAAGCGGGTGCGATCGCACTCGATAACTGACCACAGAAATAACATTTAATTGCGAAAAAACCAGAATTTTTAGTCGTTTTGAGAACATTTAAATTTATGTTGGTTTCCTTGATTAAGTTCATTATTTTATCGTAAATTTTAAAATACTTTGTAGAGCCAGATCTACAAAGCTTTAAATGTTTTAAACTAACATTATTTGTTTACAAAAATAAATGTTTTAAATTTTTTTTTTTAACTTATCAACGTTTTGTAAATATATTATAGGTTTTATTA